GGCTTTCTAGCTTTTCCCTTTCCCGGGTTAGTAATTTCCGCGCCAAAACTCTCACATGTGGTGTACTCACGCCTCCCCATAAAGTTCCAGCTTTCTGGCTTTTCCTTTTCCCGGGTTAGTAATTTCCGCGCCAAAACTCTCACATGTGGCGTACTTGGGTCTCGAGCGCCTCTTAAACCACTGACTTTGTTTCTACACAAGTAGGGAACACTCCCGTAAAATTTCAGCTCTCCAGTTTTTTCGTTCCCGGGTTAGTGATTTCCGCGCCAAAATTCCCACGTGCCCGTACGCGAGTCCCGGATGCTTCTAAACACCTGATTTTGCTCGCACATGAGTAGGGAACATTCCCTTAAAGTTTCAGCCTCTTGGCTTTTCCCGTTCCCGGGTTAGTGATTTTCGCGCCAAATTCCCACGCGCCCGTACGTGAACCCCGGATGCTTCTAACCTAGCTTAATCACCTGATTTTGCTCGTACATGAGTGGGGAACATTCCCTTAAAGTTTCAGCTTCCCAGCTTTTCCCTCGGGATCAACGATTTCCGCGCCAAAACTCTCACATGTGGCGTACTTGGGTCTCGAGCGCCTCTAAACAACTGATTTTTTTTCTACATAAGTAGGGAACACTTCCGTAAAATTTCAGCTCTCCAGCTTCTTTCGTTCCCGGGTTAGTGATTTTCGCGCCGAAATTCCCACGTGCCCGTACGTGAGCCCCGGATGCTTGTAAGCACCTGATTTTGCTCGCACATGAGTAGGGAACAATCCCTTAAAGTTTCAGCCTCCTAGCTTTTTCCGTTTCCGGGTTAGTGACTTTCGCGCCAAAATCCCCACATGCCCGTACGCGAGCCCCGGATGCTTTTAAACACCTGATTTAGCTCGCACATGGGTAAGGAACATTCCCTTAAAGTTTCAGTATTCTAGCTTTTCCCGTTCCCGAGTTAGTGATTTTCGCGCCAAAACTTTCACATGCCCATACATGGGCTCGGAGCCTCTAAACAGGGATCAACGATTTCCGCGCCAAAACTCTCACATGTGGCGTACTTGGGTCTCGAGCGCCTCTAAACAACTGATTTTGTTTCTGCATAAGTAGGACACATGTGGCGTACTTGGGTCTCGAGCGGCTCTAAACAACTGATTTTGTTTCTACATAAGTAGGAAACACTCCCGTAAAATTTCAGCTCTCCAGCCTTATTTCGTTCCCGGGTTAGTGATATCCGCGCCAAAATTCCCACGTGCCCGTGCGTGAACCCCGGATGCTTCTAAGCATCTGATTTTGCTCGCACATGAGTAGGGAACATTCCCTTAAAGTTTCAGTTTTCTAGCTTTCCCCGTTCCCGAGTTAGTGCTTTTCGCGCCAAAATTTTCACGTGCCCATACATGGGCTCGGGTGCCTCTAAACACCTGATTTTGCTCGTACACGAGTGGGGAACATTCCCTTAAAGAGTCAGCTTTCTAGCTTTTCCCGTTCCCGGGTCAGCGATTTCCGCGCCAAATTCCCACGTGCCCATACGTGAGCCCCGGATGCTTCTACACACCTGATTTTGCTCGTACATTAGTGGGGAACATTCCCTTAAAGTTTCAGCTTTCTAGCTTTTCC